CTGCACACTCTAACAATGTATCTTAGTGTAGAGTAAGCTTTCATAAAATAAGATCATTCTGTCAACCGATGACCAAGTAAACTCTCATCTTAATGTCAATATATTATCCATGAAGCAGATAATGAGAATTGATAAACTTACCAGCTGGAGAGTCCTTCAAGACATAACTCAAAATCGTTATAGCAATTGTACTAAGAAGTGTGAGAGACTTTGAGGAAAGAATTTCGTATCAGATCTTAAAATGGAAAACATTGTTTTACAGTAGTTCATTCAAGTACGTTATTTTCTTAGTGTTTGGCTATAATTCAGCTGCTTCCAGTTTGGAGCCGCTCTTGCGTTTTTGCAAAGAGTGATAACAGAGATTTTGTCGTAGTTTAATGTAACCTTTCAAAGAAACACCGTTTTATTGCTTAAGTTCTTTAGAAAGTTGCGAAGTAGGAAAACGTGGTCAAGTACATGAAATAGAGGCTTACTGATAAACCTCTCGAAAAGAAAAATAAAAACGTCAACGTTTTCTTTCGTGGTTTAACTTCTTATCGTTGAGTCTTGCTTTTCCTTTAAAGTCCACACTTGGAATTTTGCTTTAGTTGCACCATCAGGGACACTTTGAAAAAAAATTGGTATGAAAAAAAACTTTACTTAAAAGCCATTGTTTCCCATATATATCATTCTAGGGTTTCCGACCAAAGAAATGAGTTCTCCCCAAGAAAGTATCAACAGTTGACATTCTCTTGATGCTCTTCACTGTACACAGAATTCATTACATCAGAGCGTAGGTCAGGATGAAATAAATGACCCGCATTTTGGTCCTCGTGAGAGTGATTTTCACAAATCCTCCCCCTCAAGTGAAACCTTCTCTCCAATGCGCCCCGGTCGCGCGCCTGGAAGCCCTGAGAATTATTTACCGTTTGAGGGCGTAGTAGAACGTCTATGGTCGGAATGGAACGAGACTAGTCTTTTTCGATTAACTCTGATGAAGGGCACTCCCCTCCCATCCTCACAAAAAAGAAATGAAATTTTTCAAACAGCTCGTTGCGAAAGTCAGCTGAAACGAAACGAAACGAAACGAAATTGTTTCCTGTCATCAGTTTTTCTAATCTGTTGAACCACTATTGAACCATTTAAAATTTTGCCTTCAGATTAAAACTTGCTACATTCTACGTTTTTAGGGGTCAATTGCTGAAGACCGGCCTTCCACTTATCTTACAAAGTGAGATGCCCGTTTAAACGTATGAATTAATTAACTGATTTTAAAGGTCGTACTATTGGCAAGTCACCAAGTTTCTTTCAGAGAATTCACGAGAACAGCAAACCCTCTTTTTCAGTAGACCAATACAACCGTCATCTCCACGCTGCTGTGTTGTCCTTGGGGCTACTGAGCGATCCTTCCCCAACCTTTTTCAACTGAGCGTCGAAATTAGTCCGAGATTGCATTTGTTTTGCTTTACTTCGGTCTGTGTCGGTCTAGAATGATTCGTCTCATCTTCTCAACCGATCAGACACAAAACTAAAATCAATTACCTACCACAGGACGAAATTGCAAGAATCCGTAAACGGAAACGTGGCAGAAACATGTTAAACCGTTCTGGAAACACAACGGATAACCTGTGTTTCCGTTACCGGTTTCGTGACGTTTTCTCGCGTTTCCGTTGCTGCGTATACAACGGAACCGGACCACTTTTTGTGCATGTTAAACATAACGGAAACATGGAGTTGCATGTTTCCGCCACGTTTCAGAAATACGGAAACATGTGATTTCGTCCTGTATACTCAGCTGTCAAGTAGTTTTATGTTCAAACTATGGCTCCTTGGGACTATTACCTTGGATCTGATGACTGACCGTTAATATTTCCTTAATTTGGTTCTACAGTGCTTAATCGAACTTCATTTTGCAAAATATTGACCCCAGATTCTGACCTCATCGGCAGGTTTTGTCAGGTTCTGTCCTTTTCTCTACATCTGGGCAGTTCGGAAAGCTGCAAAACACTAGAACAAAAATTTATCTTCCAAATCGGCACTCTTAATCCTCACGGTATCAACGAGCGCTTTTCATTCAACTAATTTATTCTTGTTTTCTCGTCTCCATATTCCCACCAATAGCGTAGCTCCATTTTCTGCATATAAACCCACACACAACCCACAATTCCTCCAATCGCTCTAACGAAAGGCTAACGCTCGAAACTTCAGCCTTTAAACTCTTTACGGTGGTCAATTTAAGTTTTTTAAGAGCTCCTCGCTACTAAGAACACTACTGAACTAGTAGTTGAAAATAGGACCTGAAAAAAATTCAGGCCCGTACGGGATTTTGAACCCATGACCTCCGCGACACCGGTGCAGCGCTCTACCAATTGAGCTAACAAGCCAACTGGGAGCTGGGTCCAAATAAACCATCCAAGTGATGAATAATGATTTTAGATGTGTGAAATTCACATATTTGCACTGCGGTGAAGAGACGAATTTAAGAGCTCCTCGCAGCTAAGAACACTACTGAACTAGTGCGGGCCTGAAATTTTTTTCAGGTCCTATTCTACTTAACCGCAGTCCAAATATGTGAATTTCACATATCTAAAATCATTATTCATCACTTGGATGGTTTATTTGGACCCAACATATTGACCAGAGCGCTGCACCGGTATCGCAGAGGTCATGGGTTCAAATCCCGTAGGGGCCTGAATTTTTTTCAGGTCATATTTTCAACTACTAGTTCAGTAGTGTTCTTACCTGCGAGGAGCTCTTAAATTCGTCTCTTCACCGCAGTGCAAATATGTGAATTTCATATATCTTAAATCATTATTAAGTTTTTTAACTTAGCTGTTAACACTAAACTATCTGTTCCATATCCTCTATCTGGTAGTCCGCAGGTCACGGATTGTGATTTTCCTCAGCTTTGCATCATGGATCCTCCTTAACTGAGCATGCTCACACGTGGATTGACATGGCGTCTTCTGGAGAGGAATATTGTTATTGTGGCTCACAATTGGTCCTCCAATTTTAAGGTTTACCGAAGGACAGTAAAAGTGATACCAGCAATTATCAACATAATCTTATAAACAATTTTTTTTGCAAAATGCGTCGGGCGGGCGCAGCTAGAAATCGAAAACAAACTTTGAAAGTTTTAAAGGAACTCGATGCTTTCCCAAAAGTTCCTGAAAATTATCAAGAAACATCCGCTAGTGGTGGTTCAGGTGAGTAAATTTTAAGGTATTTTATAATATATCAGTATCATTTAATACTGATAATCACTTGAAGCAATATACGAGAATGCCGTCATGGAATGACATATATTTTGTTTGGCCTGCGGCTTAATAATCGTACGTGGCTCTTAGTAATTTTTGTGTACACAATTCTGGCCTACTGCACGATTACGGTTGTCTTGGCAGCAATAAAAATTTAGTACTCTTGTTAAACTTCCTGTGCACTGTTGTCGCTGTATTCGGTGTTGCTCTAATTTAAAGTCGTGTTGTTTAATATGAGGAAGTATTGAAGTGATAACCTGATGTCTAAAAAGAGGAAGTATTTGTTGTAGTATGAATTTTGTATGAAAAGGAAACCTATGCCTAAAGAAAGGCTACAAAGTGCTTCAAATTCTTATCATCTTTCTTCCTCAAGGCATAAGTTCAATATTTTATTGAGCAGAATATATGGGGGATGATAAAAAATAAATAGATAAATAACAATAACAATGAGAGATAAATAAAAAGGGGGATTGTCGTTGTAAATTATTATGGAGAGGTGTAAAGTTATTGCATGTCCATTTAGATGCTCAACCAGGATATACTTAATGTTTGCAAATCATGAATTGTGTGTTAAGTAAATTTGACAAGTATTATCTCAACTCCTACCTGAGATTTTGATAATAATGAAAAGATCTTCACATAATGGGAAATCTTCAACTGTATATATCCTGTTACCAGACAAACTTCTTACCTCAATGACTGTGCAAAAGTTCCAAATGTTTATTGACAAAATGTGGTGGTGATATCTTGTGTAAGAAATGGGAGAAATTCTGATATTTAATGACTAACCAGACAAAATTTCTTTTTACATTCTTGTTCTGCCTTGCACTTCACTGTAAGATTATATTTCCATGTAATTCTCTCCTAGTCATTTCCAGGTCTTTAAAATAACACTTTTTCTCTTTTATGTTTTGCTGCAGTGTCCATCATTATTTTCTTATTTATTGGAATTCTTGTGACATCTGAGTTCTGGTATTACAGAGGAGTTGAAACCAAATATGATTATGAAGTTGACACAGATACTGACAGGTAGGCCTTCTATAAAACGTCTCTTACCATTATTATTCCCCATTTTATCATATCAAGGTATTGGAACATGCAGAATATGCCATAGTATTACCACATACACTATAGAACAGAGTAAAACACAGTCAGAAAGTGGAGCAACAAAATGACCCCATGGAAAGACCCAAAATGTTTTGATTTTTTCCTCTTTTTAGGTTTGACTTTTTTAAAGCTAGAAGCCTTTAAGTGCAACAGATTTTTTTGGTGGACATAAAGAAAATGTTAATTGTTTCATTTTGTTCTTTCATACATGTCTTGTGCAATTGATAAGAAGCTCAGATAAGGTAACAGGAATTTTTCAAAAACTACAGAAACTAGAAAATTAGATTAAGCTAGTTAGGAATCATTTTGGCCTCAAATTGATCTCAAATTAACCCTACATTTACTACAATATTAATTATCTTTTTTTTATCAACAGTAAACTTCAAATAAATGTTGATATGACGGTAGCAATGCGATGTGATGGTAAGTAGTTGATTCACAAGCTGTGTGAGAATAACTTAGTCTGGGCGTTTTGAGTCTTTTCAGACCCTATGAGTGAACAACAAGTAATTTCTCCTGACATTATCAGTATATTGTAAAGTACAAAGGTAATGGGATGGAAGGGTGAGAGAGACCAACAAACTTGTCAAGATTGTTTTATTTAACACCAGATTCTTCTAGGAAAGTAGTAAGAAATAAATGGAAGATAATAGTGAGAATTTATGTTAAGATCTTGGGAGAAATAGAGTTATCCCATTTAAGCCAAAGAGAGACCAGCATCTAATTTCTCCGCACATCAATATTGCTGAGTCAATCTTTGAGATCATAAGAATAAAGGAAAAGATTATCAACCTAAGTAAAGAGGCTTTGATTGTTAGATCAATTCTCTTTTTCAGGAGGAAAATAAAAATGTAGAGAGGAGTATAGAGAATATGGACACTAATGTCAGGGTGTTGGTCAAGTCATTAGATATAATCACATTGTGGATATCATTATGAAAGTTCACTTAGTTTATCCTCTTTGATAGTTGAACAATGGTGTAATATCTTTCTCATTGGTTGTTTTTCAGATATTGGAGCAGATGTATTGGATTTATCTGGCTCCTCATTAGAATTAGGAGACAAACTTGCTTTAGAACCTGTGAGTTTTATTACTGCTACTCTTTTGAAATGTATTGGCTTTACCTGTATCATTCCAAATTGTGACTTGTTACTTGTGTAAGTCACAATGGTATCATATGCATGAATTTGCTCAATGTACAAGTTTAATACTTGTGGGAGAGCTGTGGCCCAATTGTCAGGAGGCTTGGATCTTCATCAGTAGGCTTGGATCTTTGTCAGTAGGCTTGGATCTGAGTTTAGACATCAAGGGTGGAGACTTAGCTGCATCTCTGAGTTGTCTTTGAGCAAAATAATTCACTCTCTCTGTGACTCACTCCACCCATGAGTACAAATAGATTCTGGTGCACCACTGGATGTACATGATATATAATAAATGTTATTTCTTATTTTACAGACGTACTTTGAGTTAACTGAGGATCAAATGAGTTGGTTGAGGTAACTTTGTTATGTAGATTGATTTGATTGTTTTGTCAGATTGTTAGATTGATTTGGCAATAAATTGCTTAATTGGCTGATATCTGACTTTTTTGTGTGTGTGGAGATTTGAACTTCAGTTGTGATGCAGCTTGAGGGTAAACTTTTGAAATGGTTAAAAATTTATCAAACCAGTTTATTTTGAATTTATTTTTCCTTTTCATATTTCTGTTATAGATCTGCCAAAAGAAAATCAATAATCAATGAGTTCCTTTTTTTTTAACCAAATAAAAATTTAGTCATGGTTTAGAATACTGAGCAGCAATTTTAAAATTGCTTTTTTGTGAATTGTTTCAGAATGTTTAGACATATGCATGCATTTGTGGAGGGCTACAGAGCGCTGAAGGTCCTTGAGGAGTTTAACAATAATGGACCCACCTACATGCCTAGAAGGTTTGAAAGTGGAAACTACTTTTTCTGCTATTGTCACTTTTTAACTTGGCCACTGTGTAGAAATGTAGTTCTTCATTGATCAGAAGTAGTGAAAATAACATTAGTAATGATGTACCCCCCATAGTTGACCATGCTCTTAATGGGACGCAACACTTGTTATAATCTTCAAATAAAAACTGTGAAATCCCTCAGAGTGAAATTAATATCATAATGAAAGTAAATGCAGATGAATGTGTAAAAAATTCAGGCAATGATTAAGGCAGTTTAATAAATTTTACTCACCACATTAGCAAACTTTCAACTAAGCTATTCAATGGAACTTTTCTTTCACTCAGATTTCTTTTTAATTCTTCACCCTACAGAAAGGATGGAGAAAAACAAGACAAACCTTATGATGCTTGTCGAGTCCATGGCTCCTTTGAGGTTAACAAAGTGGCTGGAAATTTTCACATAACAGCTGGCAAGTAAGCATAGCTTTAATTATCCTCTCATTTCAATTGCATTTACATCACTGTGCTAATTTATTAGTATCAATTATGCTGTAATTATTTGTTACAGCATTGCTCACTAGTAAGTTACCTCCCCTCCCCCTCCCCCTTGTGAGGCATAAGTCTTCTCTGGAGAGAGGACTGTTCGAGTCTATTTCTTTAGCTTAAACAAATAACTTCCTCTTGTGATACATGTATCAATCCCATGATACATTTACAAAGTGAATAGACAAAGGTATCAGCTTAAGTTGATTCCGTGATTACTGGAAGAGTTCCCATCAAGATGTTGATATATATCTGGAGTTTGATCAACTTTCATATGACTTGAACCCCATCAGGGGAATTATGGAGATCAGGGTTGTCACTAAGTGCTGCTGAAGGCAAAATTTGCTAGCTGAAAAAGAGGTGATTGCTGGCTGGACTTTTTGCCTACAAGATCTTGGCAAAGGGTAATCTTGCCACATCACCCCACTATCTCCTGCATTAGTTGTCATGTTAAAGTAAGAAGCATGATCGCCTTGCTGTGAAGGCATTTCAAAAGATTGGGAACCAAATTTTGTCACCAGGTCTCTCTTTGAGTGGGTTCAGTTCTATTCTTAACTGGCAGACTATTTCAATCCTTAGTTACAACCCAGAAGATACTCTATATATAGTTCTTCTTTCAATAACTCAGAGCATTTCAAACAGAATTTGATCCTTTGTGTATTAAAACTAAAACCTAACCTCTTGTAAAGTGTGTTAATCTTTAAATTTTTTAAGGTCCATTTATCACCCCAGAGGACACGCCCATCTGAGTGCTTTTGTGCCATCTGATTGTAAGTATTTTCTTCAAAGAATTTGTGTTTTCTGACTTGTGATGAGGCTCTGTCTCAAGTGTTGTGGTCCCCTTCAGTCCTTGGCATGACAATGTCCTTGTTGACCACATTTAAAGAACGGAAAGCAAAATTGGACTCACAAGGATAAAATTGAATCTTTTGTATGTGAATATGGGTGACTTGTCACAGATTATGAATGCAAAAATAAGTTTCTTTAAATTTCTGTAATGCTTAGTCATGCTGAAATGCATACCATGAGACTTTCCTGAACATTTTATTAGGTCACATAGTTATGATGTAATACTGCTAATTAAAAATAGCTGCACTTTGTAAATGTATACAAGGACTCAGTCATGTAGTACTAGAAGTTGTTGTTGTCAGGAGTGAACAACTGTTTGTAGAAATAAACCGAGGAAGAGCTACAGTAACTGTAGAAGATTGTTCATTTTGAGAGATTTTGAGACAACTGCGATATTGTGTCATTGGTGAGCTAAGATATGGACTGTAGTGGGCTTAAGTAAGTTTTTTAAGGATAATTACTGTACTGCATTCCGGAGTCACTCCCTGTTAAGAATATTACATGTTGTTTAATAAAGTAGTTGGGTTTGTTGGAGAATAGTGTTCTTTCTGTCAGCTGAACAAATATGAGATCTGGATGGCTGCATGTGGATAACACTGCACACTCAGTGGATAAACTTAAGTGCATGGTTGTTCAGCAGTTGTCAGATTCTATAAATTTCTACCCTTCATGCTGTAAGAGGTGCATTTGTAACACTGTGGTCTTGTTTAATTTCCTTGCAGCATTTAACTATTCTCACAGGATTGATGCTCTCTCCTTTGGTCCCTGGGCACCTGGTCATATAAACCCACTTGATGGAGATCTTGTGACAACAGACAAAAGTATTTGAAACTTTTTGTCTTATTCATTAATGAGTAAACAGTACTGTAAGTTAATACATTTGCTTAAGATAAGAAATCAACAGAAAAACAGAAATATGAGCTATGAATCCAGATGTATTCATGTGGGTTCAGTTATTTTGTCATGCAGTGTGATAAATTAAATGCATGTTGGTTTGGCTTGCCAATGATTGATACATATAATAGATGGGATCAACAACATTATTAAATGCTGTTTTTTGGTTTTCAATAGAGCTTGCCCTTCCCTCTAAATAAAATTATTTAAGATTCTATACCAGTTTTCCACCTTAAAAATTTGGATAACTTAGAGGGCTTCCCTAGTATGATATACTAGGCTTCCCTGAGTTATGAATTAGTTATGTTTTGAGTAAGCCTATTTTTCCTCTTTACATTCAGAACTGCAGATGTACCAATATTACATTAAGGTGAGTTTTAGAAAGTTTTATTTTTACAAGGTTTATTTCTGTGACAAAGATACCCAGGCATAAGATTTATGAGTGTGCTTGTACAGAACAGTGCTACTGTTGTCAATAGGTTCAAAAGTGCTGGAATGGAATGCATTTATTTGTGTTAAATTAAGTTCTAAACTTATTCCATAGATTGTACCAACCACAATCAAATCACTAAATGGTCAAGTTACAAAGACAAACCAATACTCAGTAACACAAAGGGTAAGTGACTTCTGTGCAGATATTATTCTGAATCAATTTCACTTCAGTTTTGCTACAAAAAGGTGACTGCTAAATTTCCCATTGTGGCACACTTGCAAGGCACATTGAAGTAATTGATGCATGTATCTAAAATTTCAGATCCGAGAAATAAATCATGAGGCTGGAAGCCATGGAATTTCTGGTATGAAGTTTTTTTTTTTTCAAAATTATGTACATCGAGAAAGGCAGTGGGTCAATAAAGCCAAAACTCTGAATTAAGTTTCTCCTGTGAGAGCAGTCACCCCTTATTAAGCATTCACATATCAAATTCCCAGGATCTGTTTCCCGTATTTACTTCAGATTTAACCTCTGATAAAAAGCTAAATAGCCCTTTGGGGTTTTCAAATACCTATTGTATTTAAAATCACCTTTGCTGAACAGTCATCTTGTTAAATTACATTGAAGAAAAATGATCAGCTTTCAGTTGGTAATAAATTGTTCATTCCTCTGTTCTTACATCAGTTCTCATCGGCAAAATGGTTTGCATCACCAAACTGGGCAACCCAGATGACTGTTAACTATTCATAAGTTTAGATACGATTTTGAGATGACAAACCTTATTTTATTGTTATTATTTATAATGTCAGAGAGGAGCTAGCTTTGTCACAATAGTCAGTGCTTTGTTTTTCAAGGAATCTTCTTTAAATACGACATGTCATCCATAATGGTACGAGTTGAAAGTCGTCACAGATCGTTCTGGGGTTTCTTGGTACGTCTTTGTGGAATTGTAGGAGGCATATTTGCCACTTCAGGTAGGGTCTTCCACTCTGACGTTTTTATTAACAGACCTCCTTTTTTTGTACTTCTGCAAGAAACATGTCATTATAAATCATTAAGTGATCTGAAAGTTTCACACATTCTTGTGGGAATTTTTTTGAGCTATTATGCCAAACCACTTTCCATTGCAATATGCAATACTAACAAGAACATCTTGAAACAGATAGCTTACAATCATGTAATTATTTTATCAACAAAACAATGACCAGTATAGTGTTGTTTTATACCTTGTATTCAAAATGAAATGTTACAAACTCTTTAATGATAAGTTGTTGTTTGAGTAATTTGTAAATCATGGAAAACTAAATTTACAATTCAAACACTTTGTTCTACTGAACTCATCAAGTCTAGCTAAAATTTGCCTTGTATCTGTTCTGATTTAGGTCTTCCTCCCAAGCCTATAAACTAATAACTTTATTCTTTGTTCCAGGCATGATGCACTCACTCATTGGTTTCTTGTTTGATGTAATAACTTGCCAGTTTCAGAAGAAAAAAGAGGAAAAGGTAAGTTTTTAGAATATTTTCACATTTACGTCAGCATTGTATTAATGACCTTTATGGCTTTGACAATTTTATATTCAAGTTTCTTTTTTTAACTATGGTGTATGGGCAAAGTGTAATTTGAAATCTACAGCTCTTTGGAATAATTGTTTGGTGTTAATTTTCACAGTCATGTACAGTATAGGTTAAGCTTATCTTCAAAATGCAACTCCAAGCCCCAGTTGTTAGAAGGTTGGATAATGCTATTCACTGGATAGATCTCTTGCTGGTGGATATTGCAGAAATACTGCTGGATAGCAATTTATCCACTGGATATGGTTATCGGCCATCTGAACAACTGGTCCTAGATGGGTTTTTTTTTTCTTCCTAACACACCTGATCAATGAATCATACTTTTTGGCCCCAACCGCTTACTGGAAAAACGTTTTGAAAAATGGAACAGGGCATTCATATTAAGTGTGATATTTACTGTCCAGTGATGATAGTTTAATTATTGACTGCATTTATGTCAGTGTTGTTATCATTTGTTTCAGTCCCTCACAATGTCACAGATCCCCTCAGAAACATCTGTAGTCCAGCCAAATGGCTTATCACCTGAACAACCATCACAGAGCAAAGAGCCTGTTGTCAGCTTTTCCCATGAAGGAGTAGATCCAAGTGTTGTTTCACCAGCAAATGAGGCGTTAACAAACCAATCACCAGTGATAACATGATACAAGTGGACTCAATTGAAAAATTTAGTGACTTTAAGATTCTTATCCTCCTTCATTTTAATGAAAACTTGGGAAATTCCTGAAGTCATTCCCCATAACAAAGATTTATTGTGACTGTCACAGATCTTTTTAGAAAATTAACTACCATCATCATAAACACATTTTTGCACACCCCAAGCCCTCTCGTGCATTGACTTGTACTGAAATACCACTGCTCTATTATCCAACTTAAAGTCTGAAAAAGAATGTAAATATACTAGCCAGAACATTTCTTCAGTTTTTAATTACTTTTGAAGTCTTTGGAAAGAAAATTAAATATAAACTAAAATCTGCGTTACAGGGGGGAATCCCAATGAGTCACTAACATTGTACCAAAAAAGGTGCTATGATGTTTTTGTGTTTTGATAAACTGAATGAGAACTTATTTGTTTTATTTCCAATCCTATGAGGTGCATGTAACAATTCTTCATCAACAATGAATTGCTTATTTAGATTAAAATCCCACAAAGGTACTGAGGAGGCTTGATGCTATTGTTATGAAACCAGCCATTCTACCTTTGCAGGGGGAGCTCCCCCTCAGAGGCATCATCACTTTTAAAGAGAAAACCCAAATGAATGTTGAAACAAGGACGTCTTGAATCCTGTTTGAGTTATTTTTTTTTATAAATATATAGAAAACAACCTATGTTGGTGTATAGAGTGGTATGCTTACACCAATCAGATTGCTCGCACTAATCAGATCACCGCATTAGGGTATGTATCTCGCACCAATCAGATTGCTGCATTAGGGTATGTATCTCGCACCAATCATATCATAGCATTTGAATATCATGCAGTGTATCTTCTCTTACTTAAGACCACAATATATCTGGTTAGGGTCTATTCAAGGGACAACAAAGTTTCAGTTTGCTTTTCGTAGTAAAATTACGCAGAACTAAATATTTGAGGTAACTAACTGTGGACGAATAATTTTGATTTTCTCTCTGTTGGAGGAATGACAGTAAGCATAGTCTCTTTCGCAACCGGTATTTGGTCTTGTCACTCAACACACTCTCTTTCAAACGGGAGATAGAGGGTGTAGTGGGACAAGCCCAAACGACGGCTGGGAAGGAGACAGCAGTAAGCGTGGCTCATAGAGACAGTAGGTCCATATAATATCTGTGTGAGTACATATAAATTGGATTTTTTCTGTCTTTCTGCGATATTTTCCTTTTTTTTTGAAAGTTATGCTCTTTTCAGTGACAGAAATGAAAACATTTAGTACACAAACTGTCCCATCTTAATCCACCCAGTTGAAAAAGAACTCTTGCATGCTAAGCATGCTTATATTTTTCAAAGCCAGACAAAATTGTTTCCTTGTCAGAAATATTTAGCATTCAAATAACATGTATTTAACCAAAACTTAACTTAAAGCCATTTTTGAGTTTTTTTTTTTTAATTAAAAAACAATTGCGTTTTAATTCCTTGCAAACAACTTGCATTTTATCGCGTATTTCACGCACAGAAGGCAAAGTCCACATAAGCAACAACCAATCAAGGGGCCCTTTTAGAAATATTATCCTTTTCTCTTGTTCAATGTATCTTCACTTATTCAAGATCGCAATATATCTTTGGTTAGGGTCTATTAGAGGAACAACAGAGTTTCAGTTTACTTTTCATTGTAAAATTGCGCAAAACTATATTTTTAAGTTAAGTAACTGTAGACAAATAATTTCAATTTTCTGTTGGAGGATGAAAGGCAGTAAGTGTAGTCTCTTTAACGCAATTGTTATTTGGTCTTACCACGCAACGCGCTCTCTCTTAAACGGGAAGAGGGCGTTGTGTGACGATACCAAAAAACGGCTGCGAAGCCGGGACACAAAAGTAAGCGTGGTATGGAGAGATATCTGTTAGGTAGACTGTCTCAGCAAATGTCGTACATCCTATTTCTTAATTCTATACAGCCACAAAGCATCCTAAATGTATTGTGTGGAAGGGGCCCTTGATCAACAATTCTAATTCCATTCCTTGAGAAAATATACACAACAAGAAGAGAAATTAACCTACAAACATTATTTCCATTGTGTCCCTTGAAGGTGCTCTGGCTTATCTCTTGTGGGAACTACCTAACACAGATATCCTCACTAAAAGTTGAAGCATTTAAAGGGGGCAATGCTAGTAATTCATCAACAATCTTTGAGAACTCCTTTAATTCCGGGTTAAAAGTCGTTGTAGTTCCTTTTTCTTCACCAACTTGATCTGCCTCCTCCTTGTCCTCTTCCTCTGCTAACCAGGTGTGGGTGGGTTCTGCTTCTTTATCGAGTCTACAACTCTTGTTCATTGTATCTTCACCTATGTCTAAATTGCAATATATCTTTGATTAGGGTAGCTGAGTGTCAACATCACAAAATAGTGCCCTTTTTCCTCAAGAGCCGCTCTCTATATGGGTCTCTGCATACTGGGCATATGTCACTAAAACAAGAAACATAAGAAACATACAATAACTAATCATTGACATATTTACAGATTTCTTTTGCTACCTGTAGTTAACTAACAAGTTATACAACCTACAGCAAAAACCTGATTCCCTACATGCAAGAGAACAACATGTGGAATGCGTTCCTCATTTGCGAGAAAACACAGAAAACCATCCATAAACAAGACAAGACTAATTAGAGGACCAATTGCCACTTCCTGAGGGAAAAGTTTAACAAATAAAATGCAAACCTTGTTACCCAATGAACACTTCTCAGTGAGCTTACATTACCATAGGTGGTTTGCTCAAAAGGAGGTTAATCCCAGAAGTTCTGAGAATTTCCAATGATGGCAAATAGTCCGGTCGCAGTAGTGTATCAGAGTTGCTTATAAGAGTTTTCAACTTTGGTTATACTTTTTGTTTTCTCTGGAAAAGTCATGACTGACAAGTGGAAATCCTGTAGTCTAGCATAACAATGTAAAAATAAACAAAAAAGGCAAAGAAGTGAAGAAGGAATATTGAAGAAGTGCTTACAATCTCCACTGTATCATAGTTTCGGCACAATCATGATGAAACTTGTGGGAGCAGGGTAAAATCACAAATCCACGGAAAAAAACATCCTACAAGTAAACCAAAAATGAGAAGTTATTATGCTGAAGTAATGATTGACGCAGTGTGATTAAATAGTCAAGAAATAAGGGATAAAACAAAAGTATAAACAAGTTTTCAAGTATATATACATGTAGTGGGTTAGAAATATTGTACAAAGTATGTCAGAATCTAAAGTAAGTGTTACATTTATATGTTTCCTTGGCAAATAATGACCAAATGTCAGAAGGTGTCGAAGTGGTCAGAGAACACAGCCTGTGTGAGAGCAATTTTCAATACATTACTTTGGAAAGAACACAGTGTTACACTTACAGAGTGAAATAATTTACTCATGGGAAGAGAAGTGAAAAAGGAAAATTTTTGAAAAAAAATATAGTAACAATAATAATTTAAAAAAATTATTAAGAAACCAATATTTAAGTATTTTAAAGTTTACCAGCTCACCTCCAAACAGATACCGCATTTATCATGGCCAGAGTCTGGCCTGCAGTTGTGATTTCCTTGATAGTTTTTGTTAAAACAGACATTGCACACATCACAGTGAAATAATGCGTCTTTATTTTTCCTACAAGAAAACATGGCATAATAAGACTGATGTCCTGCTTTAAGTGGTAGAAAATCAAATTTGTAAAGCTGGCTATGAGGTAGGATTGAGAAAAAAAAAGAGAGAGATTTAGACAAAATGTAAGCTGTTTAAGTGTTTACTTTCTGGTGACCATTCTATGGTTCTACATCTGTAGGTTGCCAAAAAGATGAACTTTGAACCCTCGAAAAAGTTTATGTGGCTTCAAAACATAAAAAGCTGTGGAAAACACAACACCACCATTTTTCATTAACTGAAAACTTTGTCAGGTCAGTTACCGGCAAATTCCACATTTTTCACAGTGGTATGGATTCTTGATGATGCTCATGAAATGCTTACAAACAGCGCAGAAGTACGCAGACATCTCTCTTCCACACCTACGGCACTTGGCACTGTCTTCACCAATCTGAAAGGAAATGATTTGGAAAATCATAAGTCTCACAGACCAAGTTAGTGGGAAGTTCTTAACATAGACTGTCTCATTTATCAGACAGAACAGTGCTCCAACCTGTGGCCATTATGGTTGCCATGGAAAGCAGAAAACATTTGGTCCCTAACTTTGCAGGGAGATTTGTTTTGCTTAATTTTTTTTAAATGGCAACTAAAATTGAGTAAACTTGTGCATGTACAACACTGTTTAGAAACCATTTAGAGATTTTACATAGGTTGTCAAATAGTGACTTTAAAAAAAGTGAGTTTGCAACAGTGGAGGGTGTATTGTAATTAATAACTCATAAAAACAGTTTACAAAGATTACTGGAAAAAAAGACATGAATCTCCTCCCTGTATGTTTTCCACCACTCTCAGTCAAAAATAAAGCAATGTCTTATAATGACAACTTACAACACAACTAAAAACCTTTCATCACCTCTTGTTCATCGTGACAATAACTGCACTTAAGGTGAGTGGCGTGACTTGCTCGAGCTTTCTTGTTGTTACAATCCTTGGATTTGTTATGGCAATGGTGGCAGGAATAAAATTTGTTGCAGCAAGGGAAACGAACTCTACAATGGCGTTGGTAATGCTCACAAGGCAACAAAGATTGTACAGTAACTGGCTCCTGCTGTTGAGGCCGTGCACTGGGTTGCTCTAGCTCCCATGCTTCTCTTTCTCTCTTCTCATGTTCTTTTTCTGCTCGTATTTCATGCTCTTTTCTTTTAATATCTTGGTCAAAATCTTCTATTTCTTCTCCTTCACTAGCCACTCTTTCACAGGAGACTGTGTTGGCCACTCCATG